GCTGCCGTGCAAGCTGCTCTGCCACTTGGACCATATGACCCAGCAGATCCAATGGTGCTTGAGGTGTCCGTGGCAGATAGGGATGCTGTTTAGAGCCTTTGGCAGGCCCCCATAGATGAATCACAGAGGAGGTCTTTAGGATTTTGGAGCAAGGCCCTGCCATCTTCTACAGATAACTACTCTCCTTTTGAGGGACGGCTGTTGGCCTGTTACTGGGCTTTGGTGGAAACTGAACATTTGACCATGGGTCACCCAGTTACCATGCGACCTGAACCGCCTCTCATGAGCTGGGTGCTCTCTGATCCATCTAGCCATAAAGTTGGGTGTGCACAGCAGCATTCCATCATCAAATGGAAATGGTATGCACCTGATGGGGCTCCAGCAGGTCCTAAAGGCACAAGTAGGTTACATGAGGAAGTAGCTCAAATGCCCATGGTCCCCACTGCTGCCACCCTGCCTTCTCTCCTGGAGCCTGCACTGATGGCCTCATGGGGAGTTCCCTATGATCAACTGACAGAAGAAGAGAAGACTAGGGCCTAGTTTACAGATGGTTCTGCATGAAATGCAGGCACCACCCGAAAGTGGACAGCTGTAGCACTACAGCCCCTTTCTAGGACATCCCTGAAGGACAGCAGTGAAGGGAAATCTTCCCAGCAGGCAGAACTTCGAGCAGTGCGCCTGGTTGTGCACTTTGCTTGGAAGGAGAAATGGCCATATTTGCAATTATATACTGATTCATGGGCTGTAGCAAATTGTTTGACTGGATGGTCAGGGACTTCAAAGAAGCATGATTGGAGACAAATTTGGGGAAGAGGTATGTGGATGGACCTCTCTGAGTGGTCACAAACTATGAAGATATTTGTGTCCCACATGAATGCTTACCAAAGGGTGACCTCAGCAGAGGAGGCTTTTAATAATCAGGCGGATAGGATGATTCATTCTGTGGACACCACTCAGCCTCCTTCCCCAGCCACCCCTGTCATTGCCCAATGGGCCCATGAACAAAGTGGCCATAGTGGCAGGGCTGGAGGTTACGCATGGGCTCACCAACATGGACTCCCACTCATCAAGGCTGACCTGGTTATGGCCACTGCTGAGTGTCCAGTTTGCCAGTAGCAGACGCCAACACTGAGCCCTCAATATGGCACCATTCCTTGGGGTGATCAGCCAGCTACTTGGTGGCAGGCTGATTATGTCGAACTTCTTCCATCATGGACAGGGCAGCGGTTTGTCCTCACCAGAACAGACACTTACTCTGGATATGGGTTTGCTTATCCTGCAAGCAGTGTTTCTGCTAAGACTACCATCTGTGGACTCACAGAATGCATCACCCACCGTCATGGTATTCCACACAGCATTGCTTCTGACCAAGGCACTCACTTTACAGCTAAGGAAGTGTGGCAGTGGGCTCATGCTCATGGAATTCACTGGTCTTACCATGTTCCCCATCACCCTGAAGCAGCTGGATTGATAGAATGGTGGAATGGCCTTTTGAAGTCATGATTACAATGCCAACTAGGTAACAATACTTTGCAGGGCTGGGGCAAAGTTCTCCAGAAGGCTGTGTATGCTCTGAATCAGTGTCCAATATATGGTACTATTTCTCCCATAGCCAGGATTCATGGGTCCAGGAATCAAGGGGTGGAAATGGAAGTGGCACCACTCACCATCACCCCTAGTGACCGGCTAGCAAAATTTTTGCTTCCTGTTCTTGCGACATTATGTTCTGCTGGCCTAGAGGTCTTAGTTCCAGAGGGAGGAATGCTGCCACTAGGAAACACAACAATGATTCCATGAAACCTGAAGTTAAGATTGCCACCTAGCCACTTTGGGCTACCTCTTAAGTCAACAGTCTAAAAAGGGAGTTATAGTGTTGGCTGGGGTGACTGACCCAGACAATCAAGATGAAATCAGTCTACTGCTCCAAAATGGAGGTATGGAAGAGTATGCATGGAATACAGGTGATCCTTTAGGGTGTCTCTTATTATTAGCATGCCCTGTGATTAAGGTCAATGGGAAACTACAACAGCCCAATCCAGGCAGGACTACAAATGCCCCAGACCCTTTAGGAATGAAGATTTGGGTCACTCCACCAGGTTAAAAACCACAACCAGCCCTGGGCTTGCTGAAGGCAAAGTGATTATAGAATGAGTAGTAGAAGGTAGTCATCAATGCCAGCTACGACCACGTGACCAGATGCAGAAATGAGGACTGTTGTCGTAAGTATTTCCTCCTTATTTTGTTAAGAACATGTTTGTGCATGTATACACTTGTACTAGGAAAGTATCTTCATTTTAGTTTTCTTTTTCCTTTATCATGTGACATAAGATTTGTTGACTTCATATCAGCATTTAAGTGTTGTTAACTTTATGTAATAGCATTCAGGTTAAGGATTAGTGTGCTTCTTGTTGTATGAAGGACAGCTGTATTATGTTAGGCATAATTATGACCTTATTACTGTATTTATTTGGATATTAAGTATGATTTCAGGAGATGTGTAGGGATTCAAGTTGGCAAGGGGTGGACTTATAATGGTTAATATTAAGTGTGAACTTGATTGGACTGAAGGATGCAAAGTATTGTTTCTGGGTGTTGCCAGAGATTAGGCTGTTGCAAAAGCAACTGCAGTTTTTGCCATTACTTTTAATTTGAGTCAGTGGACTGGGAGAGGAAGACCCACGCTCAATGTGGGTGGGCACCATCTAATCGGCTGCCAGCTCGGCTAGAAAAAGCAGGCAGAAGAAGATGGAAGAAGCTGACTTGCTGAGTCTTCTGGCCTTCATCTCCTCCTGCGCTGGATGCTTCCTGCCCTCGAACATGAGACTCTTGAGTTCCTCAGCTTTTGGACTCTTGGACCAGTGGTTTGCCAGGGGCTCTCTGGCCTTTGGCCAGACCAAAGGCTGCACTGTCAGTTTCCCTACTTTTGAGGATTTGGGACTCAGACTGAGCCACTACTGGCTCCCTTCAGCTTGCAGATGGCCTATCATGGGACTTTACCTTGTGATCGTGTGAGTCAGTTCTCAATAAACTCCCTTTCATATATACATCTATCCTATTAGTTCTGTTCCTCTAGAAAACTCTAATACATTTCTTACTTTAAAAAGTTGATTTCTATACTTTTCTGAACAAATTAATGATTAATAAAAATCCTCATCATCAAAAACATCTTCCTCTTTTTAGAGTACCATTTGAAAATAGGGGGTATGATTTGGTCTGTGGATTTTCTGCGTCACCCAATAAGTGGCCAGGAAAGTTTCAAGAGCAGTGGACAAGGGTAGCATTGTCCAAAGTGTGTTTTGTGAGAAGTTAGGAGAATGGACTTGAGGCCAGCGGGCTGGGCTTGAACCCTCACTTGCTCACTTACCAGCCACATGTCTTGGGAACCTCTCTGTGCCTCAGTTCCTCAGGATTCTTAGAGGTTTGTTGAGAGGATTATATGAATTAACATATTTAAAGCACTTATAATGGTACCTGGCACATAATGTGTTCCATTAAAATGTGAGCTATCATTATTATTACTGAAAAAAAGGAAACTGTGGTCTAATAAAGGTGGGATGCTATGTTACATTTAAACAGAATTCTTTCTTTATTTTTGAGACTAGGTCTCTCTGTGTCATCTAGGAAGTGCAATGGGGTGATCTCGGCTCACTGCAGCTTTGACCTCCCAAGCTTAAACAATCCTCCCACCTCAGCCTCCCAAGTAACTGGGACTATAGGTACATATCACCATGCCTGGCTCATTTCTGTTTTTTGTTTTTTTTCAGAGATGGGGTTTTATCATGTTGCCCAGGCTGGTCTTGAACTCCTGGGCTCAAGCTATCTGCCTGCCTTGGCCTCCCAAAGTGCTGGGATTATACGAATGCGCCACTGCACCCGGCCCAGAATTCTTTACTGTAGGACTTCCAAGAGAATTCAGTAATGTGCACTGTGAACCTCCAAAGGAAAATTAAAGGCAGTGTTACCTAAAGTAATTTCCTCACGAGATTCTTTTCTTGGGGAGAAATGTATAGGGTTAGTGTTCCACACATCAACACACTTTTGGACATGCTGCTCTGAAGGACAGAACTAGAGGGTGGCATGGGCCAAGGAGAGACCCCTGCCTTCTGTTACCTTACTCACCACTGCACTAGGCCCAGCATGGCCACTGGAGCTCTGGGGCTGGCCCCATGGGTCTTGAGCACTCTCCCTAGTGTAAATGAGTCAAACTTACCTGGAGCCAAGGCTGAGTTTTATCACACAAGATGCCTTTCAGGAAGGCAAGGAAACATTTTGGGAGGGCAATCAACAGGGTGGCATTTCCTTCTGCCTGCCTGCCAGGACATCATGCCCCCCACACTTTTAGGTTGAAGCAAAATGCACATAGTCACTGTTAAAAAACATGGACTTTGGGATCAACCTGAGTTATGCCTTTACCACCTCTTAGCGAGTGGTTGTGGACATTTATACAGTCAAGATAATAAAGAAGCTTGCTTCCTGGGATGTAATAAGAATCAAATGAGATAAAACAGGTGAAGAAACTCTCGAACTATAGTTGGCCCATAGAAAAATCTCAGTAAACAAGCCCTGCCAGTAACAGCAGCACTACCATGGCCATCACCACCAGAACTTACCTAGACTATATCATTAACAGCCAAGTTAACAATCATTCCTTTTTTCATTTTATACTTCTATTGTGCTACATTTTTTAATGACAACTTTCTTTTACCTTCCCTGTTAGACTTTAAACTCCTTAAAAGCAAGAACCAATCTTTTTTTTTCTTTTTTCCCTGAGCCACAGAATTTATAATCCAAGACTACTAAGAACACTCAGTAGAAACTCACTGACCATGGAACCTGCTAGGCAGGCCCCCGAGATGACTCAGGGGCACACATGGGTTTAAGCTATGAGGGTGTCTTGCCTGCACTTCAGACCTGTGTCACTCATTCCTCTTCTGGGATATCTCATCCTCACAATCAGTCAGGTCCCCTTTCCCCTTGCCTACTTCCCCAACCCCACTCACCCACAATGGAGAGGATGACTACCACAAAGTCGAAGATGTTCCAGCCAATGGTGAAGTAGTAGTGCCTCAACGCAAACATTTTGAGCACACACTCACAGGTGAAGAAGATAACGAACACCAGGTTAATCCAGTAGAGGATGTTCTCCATCTGCTTGCTTTGAGTGTCTGTCTCCACCATCATTGTCACCATGTTAAGGCAGATGAGCATCATGATAACAATGTCAAAGGCTTGCTGAGTGACAAAATCAAAGACGATTCCTTGGATTTTGTTCTGGGGAGGAAGGGAAGGAAAAGATAAAAGATTCATGAAAACCTTTCCAAGCCAACCTATGGAAGCTGTCACCCTGCTAATCGAGGTACCCTCTCCCTTCTTTTCTGTAATACTGGTCAGCTCTGCTAACCAGTATTCAGGAGCATGGATGGAGACCAACATCAATATTGCCTCACCAAGAGCTTTCCAAAGAAAGCTTCTCTTTCTGTTTTTTGTTTGTTTTTTTGAGACAGAGTCTCATTCTGTTGCCCAGGCTGGAGTGCAGTGGTGCAATCTTGACTCACTGCAGCCTCTGCCTCCTGGGTTCAAGCAATTCTCATGCCTCAGTCTCCCGAATAGTTGGGATTACAGGCACACAGCACCACGCCTGGCTAATTTTTTGTATTTTTAGTATAGACGGGGTTTCGCTATATTGGCCAGACTGGTCTCGAACTCCTGGCCTCAAGTGATCTGTCTGCCTCGGCCTCCCAAAATGCTGGGATTACAGGTGTGAGCCATCACGCCCAGCCTTTCTCTCTGTTTTTAGAGACGGGTCTTACTGTGTTGCCCAGGCTGGAGTGCAGTGGCTATGCATAGATGCGATCATAGCACACAGCAATTCAAACTCCTAACCTTAGATGATACTCCCGCCTGAGCCTCCCAATAAACTGGGCCTATAGGTGTGTATCACGATACCCAGCTGACCACTTCTCTTTTGTGTCTGTGACATCACACACTCTGGATGGCTTCCTACTTACCCAGCTGCTCCTTTTTTGGTCTCATCTGCAAGCAACTTCTTCTCTTAATCCCTTCTTTCTCTAAATTTTTGCCCTATGAGAGTTCATGTATTCCTGCTGCTTACGTGGTATCTATGTACTTATCCTTCTCAAGCTTTTCTTCTCCAGCCCACACCTTTCCTCTGAACCTGAGCAGCTTACTTGCCACTTCTTCTTGATGACTTATAAGCATCTCAAACTTATCATGTCCAAGCCTCTCACACTTAAGTCCAAAGCAGAGTCAAGTCTGTTCCCTGCCCCTCACCCAGCTTGTTCCTCTCATCTCAATTATTCATCCAGGCTCTCAAGCCAGAAATCTAAGGATCATCTTTGTCTTTTTCTTCTCCCTCATCTGATCCACTGAAGGGCCTATTGATTCTTCCTCCAAAAATAGAACAACAGAACTTGGGCTCATCCACTTCATTCCATCTTTATTGGCTCTACTCTAACCTGAGCCACCATCATCTCTCATCTGGACTTGTCTGGCCACTTAACTGGTCTACTTCTTCTCTTGCCATCATCCAATGCAGTCCTCATACAATAGCAAGTGTAATGATTTAAAACAAATGGATCATGGCCAGGTGTGGTGGCTCATGCCTGTAATCCAAGCACTTTGGGAGGCCGAGGCAGAGGGATCACTTGAGGTCAGGAGTTCAAGACCAGCCTGGTCAACATGATGAAACCCTGTTTCTACTAAAAATACAAAATTAGCCGGGCGTGGTGGCAGACACCTGTGATCCCAGGTACTCGGGAGGCTGAGGCACAAGAATTGCTTGAACCACCAGGAGGCAGAGGTTGCAGTGGGCCGAGATCACGCCACTGCACTCCAGCCTGGTTGACAGAGAGAGACTCTGTCTCAAAACATAAAACAAAAAACAAATGGATCACATCATTCCCCTACTTAAAACCTTTCAAGAGCTTCCCATTGGGCTTGCAACACAATCCCTATTGTTAACCTGGCTTACAGGGAGACACTTGGCACAGTCTGACTCTGCTCATGTCCCTCCTCTGGCTCACCACCCCCTGGCCACACTGTTTTCTGCTTCTGGGGTCATGTGTATTCTGCCAGGAATCTCTTTCCCCAACTCTTTGGTTCCATCTCTTTTTTTTGTTTTTGAGATAGGGTCTTGCTCTCTTCCCCAGACTGGAGTGCTCAAGCAATCTGCCTGCCTCTAGCTCCCAAGTTGGGATTACAGTATGAGCTACCGTGCCCAGCCGGTTCCTTCTCACCCGCTCAAGTAGACCCTCCTTAGTGAGGCTTTCTCTGACTACTATATTAAAGTAGATCCACCACTTATAGCCCTCCAGTTAATTTTTTCCTCACAATCTTCCACATTTTTTTGTAGCTGTTTGCTTACTTATTTATTATCTATCTCCCCAACTATTATAAGCTCCATGACAGCAGTGTCTACCTTTTGTTCATCACATAATGCTTAGTGCCTGGTACGTGGTGGAGACTGATAAATATTTGCTAAATGAATGTTAATCACTCTTTCTTAATGTTTCCTACATTTAAAAAAATATTTTATTCTATTCTGTATTTTTTGAGACAGGGTCTCTCCCCATTGCCCAAGCTGGAGTACAGTGGCACAGTCATGGCTCACTGCAGTCCTGGCCTCCAAGTTCAAGCAATTCTCTTACCTCAGCCTCCTACGTAGTGAGGACGACAGGTACCCATAACCATGCCCAGCTAGTTTTTACAAAACTTTTTTTGTAGAGATGGGGTCTCATTATGTTGCCTAGGCTGGAAGTTATTATATTTTAATGTGGAAGAAAATACACTCAGGTTCCCATATGTAAAGTACTAAACAGAACTTTAGAAATGTTAACCCTTTTCTATTCCCGTTAGTCCCATTTCTATCACAAAATGAAGTCTTAACATCAAGGAAATAAAAAACCCCAACTGTTCTCTTTCTTAAGATTCCTTGCTTTTTTGTTTGTTTTAAGTACCTAGGTACTTGGGCTGGTGCTTATTTTCAGGATTACTTTAACTTGGTGGTTTTTAATCTGCTCTGCAAAGCCCTAGAATTTCTTTTCCTTCAAAGGTTGATGCCGTAGATGTGCCAATGTGCAGCGTGTGTAGGGATGAGGGGAGAAAACGCTCTGGAACTATAACTCTTGATGCAAACATAGTCACTCTACTTCTATTTCTACAAATTAGATTGCCAGGGAAGCTTTTGTATTAAAGGTTCTGCTGAGTGTTTTTTGGTGGTGTTGTGTCTGTTTTTTGAAGTTGCTAAATGGAAGTTACAGAAGAAGGAACTCTGGGCCTGGCTTTTGGGGGTGATGTCCCCCGCAACCGGATATATAGAATCAGGAGCAGGGCATCTCCTTCTTCTCTGAAACAAGACAACCACCACCAGTGGAACAACGGAGCAGAATCTCAGCCCCCTAATCTGTTTTATAAAAGGCTCAGCTCAAGAGAGGGAATCAGGGCACCAGACTCACATAGTTTTACCCTCTTCTGCTCCCACAAATAGCCAGAAGCATGACTTTAGCTTCTAGACACATCCTGCAAAGACATACTTAATGAGCAGAGAGAAGCTGAAAAAATTATGACCAAATCCTATCTTGAACTGGTAGGAAAGAGAGCAATTTTATTTCATCTTCTCTTGTTAATTTTTGGTTGTCTCTAAAAACATCTCTCTACCGGGGCCAAAGCCAATGTGGTTCACATGCTGATTCTTGGCGGTTGCCCAAGGAAGGTTCAGAGGATAGGTTGAGGATTGATGTAAAAGCCCCCATGCTTAATCCCTGTTCTGCTCTCCTATTCAGATTTTTTGGATGGGTGGTGAGGAGAGGATTAGGCACAAAGCAGCCGAATCACTTACCTTTTTCCTTCCTTTGCAGTAACCCTAGCAGTACTTTTCCTATATGGGTTGTCACTAAGTCCTCAGCCTGCACAATGCACTTACCAAGGGGCGGGGAATAGGTTTCTGTGGCTTCTTTGAGCCCAGCTTTTTCATGGCATTGTAGTACTTCTTCTGTTCTTCGGTCATGAAGATGTCCTGACCTCCGAAGTAAAGGAAGGAAGAAAAAAACAGACAATTACAACTGGCTCTCAACATGCTATGGGTTTGGACCTAAGGATCAATACTGAGAACTGAGGGGAGACCTATCCCTTTCCTTTGTAGCTTATAGCTATCCCAGAGTGGGGTAGACCTGGGATAATCATTCAGCTCTAAAGAGATACTTGCCCTTGTTTTTAGCTCAGGATTTCTAAGATCTTCCAGTCCCGAGGTAGAAAGGAAATGGACTATCCAATTATAGACCCTCATGAAAGGGTAAACTTGAGAGCAGTGACTTTGAAGGCAGTCATATCTCACAGTCTCATTTTCTGGGGGCCAGTTTTCCTGATACATTCTAGACAAAACATTTTAGAATAAAAAGATCTTCATGTCCTGGTTGATACCCAATTTATTTTAGATGATACCCCAAATTTGGAAATTCTGGTGCAAGAAAGCAATTTGGAGGGTGTCTTGGAATATGCTGGGATAGACTTGACTTACAAAATGAGTAACAAGAGCAATTTTTTCAATTTGCTTTGTAAAACTTGTTAACCATCTAGAACAAGGAAGGAAGTGAACTTTCCAAGGGTGGTCTCTCAAATCCCAATTTGCTTGTGCTCAGAGATTGATTAGATAATCACAAGTCTAGAGAGTTTCTACTTCTTGCAATAGCTATTCATCTGTTTCTTTCCTTTTCATCTCTGTTGCTAGACTGCACTCTCTGACCTACCTGCTTCTGGTGGGAGACCAAGACCAGTAATAGGCCTCAAGAATAAAAGACTGCTAGTACGTGTGGTAAACTACGTGCTGCAAAATCCAGCCCTGAACAGAAAGAGTGTGTTGGGGCTAATGTATGGGGGCCAGGGTCACACTGAGCTGACAATATAGATTTTAGAGAAAGAAAGAGGGACATTTTCTTTCTAGAGATAGGGACAAAGATGCCTCTTATCTGGGCTGACTTCCAACCACTGGCAATGAGGGGAGGAGACCTATCTTTTTCTTTTGTTGATTGAAGTTATCAATGATGACACCAATGAACAGGTTCAGGGTGAAGAAGGAGCCGAAGATGATGAAGATGACAAAGTAGATGTACATGTAGATATTGTCCTCATACTTAGGCTGCTCATCAGGCTGTCAAAGGACAGGATAAAAGGAAGAGAATCAGCTCCTAGTTTGCAGTTGGACATGCCAAGACCATCAGTCATAACTGTGACCATTTGAGCTGCTGAACATCCTGGGATGGGAGAGCCCTAGATTCTTTCTGCCTGCCTCCTTCTCTACACTGGCATGTCCTGCCGTGAGAGGGCACTAGTCCTCCTCCGACTCATGTGGAGAACATGCAAATCATGAAGCCACAGGGAGGGAGGGCTGTCTGCTAGGAGCCATACTTTTGCTATGAAGCAGGACTGAAGCATAGACAGCTTCACTGGGGCCAAGTAAAAATTAACAGTCTAATCATTGGGGGCCAATGTAAGAGAGTGATGACTTACTGAGACAAGGAAAATGATCTATAATCAATAAAACAAGCAATAAATGTTCCAAAAAGAAACGTCGACTCCTCCATTCCTCCATCCCTTCCTCTTTCTTGGTGGGATTGGTATACCATGCTGCTTGCTTTCCACCCATCTGAGAAGGTGGTATTTTTGCCATGTACATCCTTACCTTCCGGGAATCTACAGCTGCATACATGATGTCCATCCAGCCTTTGAAGGTTGCCTGGCAAACAGAGTCAGTCATTAGACGGTGCCTATTAAGGGATGGGAGTCTAGGCAGGGGTCCCAAAGGCCAGGCTTAGGTTCAGTGAGAACACAGAACAGGGGTTTGGGTGCAGCCTCCCTTGGACACAGAATTTTCTGTTTGTTACTACAGGTCCCAGGAGGGCTTTGTTCCTGAAAATAACATCAAAGTGTGGCAAATAAACATGTTGAAAATGGTAGTGGGATTAAGGCTTTACAAAAGGACTCAAAAACATGGGCCTGAGAAGTCTACCTAAAGTTAGGGAAAACTTTTATGAGTGAATGGCAGGAATCTACTGAAAATGCTTGGAACTTAGCACTCCATTCCATTGAGGAATCATTTTTTAAAAAGGTGTTAAGCAAAAAAAAAAAAAAAAAAAAAAAATGTGTTAAGCGACAGGGGTTGGAAAAACCCATAGTTGCATTTAAAAGAAAAACAAGATCAGACTTACCCTTTACTGCTATACACATGTGTAGCCTATGTAGTGGCAATACCAGCTTTATCCTTGACAATCCCTTCCCAATTCTACTCCTTCAGTCTACTGTATCTAGACTGATTCTGGAAATATGGATAATCCATGTACTATTCTCCATGTTTTACGCACTCAACCAGATTCTAAGGTTTTTTCAGGGCACAGGAAGGTCTTTATTCATCTGAGGGCCCTAGTACTGTACTGTCACACACAGCATCTTGCATATGGCAGGGACTCTGTGACTACCATGTTTGACTGGCTTGTTGATGTGCACTGGTTTTCTGGAGATGTTCCAATTCAGATTCAATTTGTGGGTCCAATTTTTTGAACTGGGATACAACAGCAAAAAAGCTTTGGGGTAGGAAAAACTATAGTTCATTCCATGAACTTTGCCTTCTACTATGAGTTGACAGTGTTTACTATGTGTTAGGTTAGGTTGAGAGCTTCATCTGTGTTATTGCAGTTAGTCTCCCAAGAACTGTATGATATAGGCATGGCAATATAGTAGCAAAAACACTCAACAGCAATTTTCATTAATTAAGCATGGTTATATGCTGGGCATTGTGCTAAGAAATTTTTAAAAATCACAAACCCTCTTAACAACCATGCCAGGTTTCATTATCTATATTTAATAGATGAAGACACAGAGAGTCAGAGAGGTTGAATAATTTGTCCAAAGTTACATATCCAGTAAGTATCAGAGTATGGTTCAAATCAGTATCAGTCTAATTTCAAAGCCTACGAGCTTTCACTGCATTATGTTGTCTTGTCACACATTCGGAAACACTGGTGAGAGAGGAAGTGAAAACTAAGCACGAAAGAATGAAATTAGGCAAAAGAGAATTATCTAGATAGCTAAATCCTTCCTTACTGTGATACATTAATCTGATACCCTTCTCTGGGGTGGAGCTGAGGTGAGTGTGGCACCAAAGCCCTGCCATGGTTTTTTCCTAAGTTAACTGGAGTGTAGTGAGTATGTACTATTATTTTGCTCCATCACAATTGCCATTATTTTTTTTGTCTGTGTGCTTATCTTCTTGATTTTTTTTTGCCCTTCTCTTTAACTACACTCTGACCAGGAAAGGAAGATGATCTCTCTGCCACTTTACTACATTGCAGGAATCTTTATTTGTTGCTGGGACAGCTCTGCTCCTGAGCACAATGAGAGATTTCCTTTGAGGGAGATCTTGTAGAAGTCAGAGAATACTCAGGAAAGGTCTCTCTCTGAAACTGGTTTGGGGAACAACACTGTTCTCTTGGACTTATTGAGAATAATCGTGCTTCTAGAAGCAGGGTTGAGAAGAAGCCAAATGGGATTTGTGCTAGCTGCCTGAATTTCACAGAACTGAAAACAAAAAACATTACTTACTACTTGAAGAAGGGCCAGGTATCCTGCCCCAACATTGTCAAAGTTGATCTTCACGTTCTTCCATCTGATCTCTGTATTGTTCCCCTCCATGAGCTTTTCACATTCAGTTTTATTGTTGACATCTTCTATTTCAAATCGGATTTCAGAAGTCTCATTAAAGCAGTAGTGGTACTTTCCCGCAAACAGGTTAACTCCCATGATGCTGAAAATCAGCCAGAAGATGAGACACACCAGCAGCACATTCATGATGGAGGGGATGGCGCCCACCAAGGCATTCACCACCACCTGCATTGGAAGGGGAGGTTGCTGAGTGTTGTGTGGAAATGGGAGCAAGCACATTTTTTGATTTCCAGGAGGGGAATGACATTGTGTGGCTTGTTCTGTATGGAAACATTACATTCCCTTTGGAATTAGAGTAACTGGACAGACTGACAAGTAGAACCAAAAATTTCTAAGTCTAGGCCTATATTGAAGGAATTTTAAAAAGTTACATCTTTATTTTGACTAACACAAATTCCCCAGGCAAGTTGACCTATGTCTTCTTTCCTATGCATCAGCCGGGGACTGAAAAATTATTTCTTAGTCCAGTCTCCCTCTTCTTCAATTCATAAAACATGCACAGTGGGAAAATATGAGTAACTTTCAGCTTGCTAGTTGCCTTTCAACAGACATTCCCCCTCTGAAAAACAAGGTATAATTGTTCAGAATCACAGAGAACTACCCGTTGTGGTTAATAGAGAGCCAGTTAACAGTACATAATGTCTCTTTTATGACTACGCAAGGCCAGTTATTTTATTTCAGGCAATAGCTGAGCATGCATATTTTGCAGGCTCAAGAAAAAAAAAAAAAGCTATATTCCCTCTACCAAACAGTATAAAATAAAATCTGAAGAGATGTGCTTTCATTCAAGGTTCATTATACTTCTCCAGCCTTTTTATTCTGACTTTGTAGGCTTTTAAATCAGAGTCGCTCCCTGCTTGGCTAATGCTGTCGTCTCTCTGCTCATTCCAGGGCTTGACTCCACTCATCACAATGTATTAGAAATAGGATGACTTAAGGTTTTTAAGAGAGTTTTGGGTTAGATCATCACTGCTCTGGAAACTAAAAAATTGGCATATTGTTAAAAGTCACTGATTACAGTAAGCTCAGGAATTTAAAAAAAGCAAAGGAAAAAACCCCTTAGGAATCCAAGTTTCTGGGTTGTTTTCAACTTTGATTTTGCTTTACAGTGTCAGTCAGAGCAGCATACAGTTTAGGGTTTAGGTTTTCCTTATCTTCTGGTTTTGCCTTAAGACTGCATTGTCACTCATCAGGACATGTGGCTGATCAGAGCTATCTGTTCTATCTTGTGTAAAAAATGCAATGATATTCTTCTGCTAAGGAGTCACTCTTCTTTTTAGATTAAAATATTCATTTTGTGTTTCTCCAATTCATATATTAAGGCCTTTAGACTGAGAGGCAGTTATTTCTTAATTCTTAGACCAAGAAATCTCTTCTAGATCTGACAGCTCTGTCATTAGTATAAAGTGTTTATTACTTTGTTAATTGTTTATTACTTTGAGCAAGGAAAGCCAGGATATCTGAAAGCTGGAAAATCTTCAATTTTTTTTGGAGAATGATATTCATATTGATTTATATTACCAAATTTGTCATGTACTCAGATTTGAATTTACCTCCTCATTCTACAGTTGCTCACCCTTTGGCGGGAGCACCAAAAAGCAATGAAATGTGCAAAAGAACAGGCAAAAGGAGGATGATCCACAAATGGAAAAATAATTTCTCAAACAATAAGGGAGTAGATTATGTAAAGATTCAAAAGCTCCAGTCTATGTGACAGCATTTCGCAGCAGACCTTAGGTGGGAGACTGTGACCTTCTGTTAGACCATTACAAATGTGGCATAGGAAGTAGGTCCCAAAGACTTGAAACCGAGGCATGTTGCTTTTTAATCTCAATTCAGAACCTACTTCCTCCAGGAACTCTTCTGACTATGCAGAGAATGATCTTAAGCTTCTACTCAAACCCAGTCTAACCTGTCCTACATACTATGGGTTACAGTTAAATATGGGTTAATATTTACCACAGGGAAGAAAAATTAACGAAGTGATCTCTTAGAACTTTTATTCTCATAAAGTATATACAAAATTTTATATATTGATCCATTTGATCAAGTGAATCAATATACAAAAATATTCACTGAGCCTTATTCTCTGATATGATATAAAATCCTATAAAATCCAAAGTTTTATAAGATGCAAATGTACTTTAATCATAACCAGAGAAAACCTTTTTACCTTAGTATTATGAATAAAACAGAAAACAGAGTTGATTAATTTTAAATTTTTATTTATTTACTTTTTTTGAGAAAGGGTCTCACTCTGTTGACCAGGCTGGAGTGCAGTGATGCGATCTCGGCTCACTGCAACCTCCCCTTCCTGGGTTCAAGCGATTCTCCTGCCTCAGCCTCCCACGTAACTGGGACTACAGATGCATGCTACCGCGCCCAGCCAATTTTTGTATTTTTAGTAGAGATGGAGTTCTGCCATGTTGGCCAGGTTGGTCTCGAACTCCTGACCTCAAAGTGATCTGCCCAGCTTGGCCTCCAAAAGTTCTGGGATTACAGGCATGAAGACGCCATGCCCAGCCCAGAGTTGATTAAATGTACTAATAATTCTTCCTTGCTTTGAACATTAGCTGATAAGCTGCAATATGTTAAGAAGAAACTATTTAACTGTGCTCCGTATGTAATGATCATTGTGCTGTTATTCTCAGCAACCACTGGGCAAGAGATCATATTTCTTATTTTGAAGTCTCACACTAAATATATATTATAAATGATAATTCAAATTTCCACTGATAGTCAATGAATTTGATCTTCTCTTCTTTATACAAGCTCTCTAGTTATTCTACATTGTCTTTAATTATCATGAAATCTATTATTGTTAAGAACTAGACATGGAAATATCACTCAAAGCTAGGTTTTAGTAATCCATAAAAAGTTACTTTTATCAATGGAAGTTTATACTTGGCAATTGATACAAATCCCATTTAATTGATGAGAAAATTCCAATGGATATTAATTCTTACAGTATTTTTGTCTTCTCTATAATGTCTTGGACATTATTGTTGCTCATTAAATACTATAAATCAGCAAGCTTTTAATATCTGGCAGAGGGAACATGGCTTTAATGGACAACTATGTACTGACAATCAACAAAAATGCATGCATGTTTCATGGCACTAATATTATATACCCTCAAAAATTTAACAGCACAGCGAAATCTTTAAATGAAGATTACTATGGAGGAGAGAAAAGCAAAGAACTACATTAAGTATTCCTTTGCCTATAGCATAAGTGCTTCAGTTTTCCTGGTCTTTGGTTTGAGGAAGGAGAGGAGACTGAAGTCAGTGTCCCAGGACAGGCTTGGGTCATATGCTCCCTTCTCAAGTGAAGCTCTGAGTCTGTAATTGGAGCAGCACAGTGACAGTTGAGCCCATCTGCATGGATGGTGTTCAGTTTATGAAGATTTCTTATTTAAAATTTTCTAAAGGTAATCTCTCAAGTGTTGGCATATGGAAGAACCAAAACCAAAGAATAAAAAAAAATGCCCCATAGAAAAATGACATTTAAATAAAACATGTGTACCTAATTCTGTTTATTACTGGGAAACTTACTATAAGCTTAGCCAGATCCAATCTTTTCTTCTTGCAGTTACTCTTCCACAGAAGGGCTAGGAAACCTGCAGGGCAGGAATGGATCCCTGATCCCTTTTCACCTGCCTAACCAGCCATGGTCAATACCGTCTGTTAGTTGGCTAGAGTCAACCAAATGAGGTGGTGCTCTTATTCCAAAGCTTCCCTCAGTGTACATTTATTGTTTTAAGTTCCAGCTTTGGGTTCAAACTTGTTCTCGCCCATTATCTTACCGAAAAAAATCTTGATGTAGATGCTTTTCAAATAAAACATCATAATGCTTTTCAAATAAAACTATCTACTGTTCTGATTATTCATTTGGGACCTCCGGGCTCCTAAACTACTTTCAAGTTGACAAATAAAAGTTTTTAGGGGACTGGAAACTGAGGGTCCAGGAAAGGTAGAGAAAGAAGGGGCAGCTAAAGGGAAGACTATTCATGTAGACTATTTTGTGGCTCCCAAAATGGCTCCTGCATCCAGGTTATTCAAGTAACTGCCTCATGAGCAAACTGGCCTCAGCGGCCATGAGGACTGCTTCTGTCTGCCTGGCCAGGACTGACAGTAGTGAGCATCTAGATGGAAAGAGTTAGTAACAAGCATCAGATGCGTCAGATGGGCATTTTTTTTGGTGGGAGGATGGGGGGATTTCTTCAGGTATCACCAATCTCCTTTTGGGAGATCAGGGATCACTGTAAGGGGATGCGGAGGAGCTCCGGTACAATGCTGCAAGTACTGTCTTCAGTGGACTTCTTTTGGTTGCATCTTGTCCTCAGTTTTTCAGTCACCAAAGTGGATTATCAACTTTATAAAAAAACCAGTGTGGTTTATTAAAACATTTAACTAGCTCTGGAAAAGGTGCAAAGGGGGAGGGAGCAGAGAAAAGCATTTTAACCACATGTTCAATCCCACCATGGCTGTCTAAACCACTGAATCTTGTGTAATAAACTCTCTTCCTAAATTTAGCCTAAGCATAGCAATGACCTTACTGCACACATGCTAAAACCTCTCTTATCTGTGGGACAAAGTCTTAAAATCCCAAGTTTTTAAAAAAATTAAAATAAATTTACACTACTGTGGAACTGCCCTTCCTGCAGATGGTTTCAGGAGAGTTGCAGAAAGCTTACATTTAGTAAACCAAACTGTGACTGTGCTACAGAAGAAACATGAATTTGTTACAAAAAGCATTTGTCTGGATAAATTAACATAATAAAATTCCCAAGTCCCAATTAAGTTTTCATCTTCCTATATAACTGTGGGTGGCTTCATGGAAGAACAGCCAGGGGTCACAGATGAGGAATGAATGAAGCAGCACTGTCCTGGTATCTAGTTTTTCCAATCAGTCTTGCTTCATGTAGACTATTGTAACAGTTTAATTTTTATTCCTACATTCTGACGTTTGCACATTTAAAAATATATCCTCTGGTTTGCTCTCCTGCATGTATTCAACATCTGAATTGAAGCGAGTTTTCTTGGTCTCGTTAAGTATAACAGACCTCTCTCTGATCACCACAGGACAACTATTACCACCAAAGCCAGTTGCCCCTTTGATTTTAAGAAATTGACTTTTTAGTGTGTGTGTGTGTGCGCGCGCGCACGTACACGCATGCACACGCACAACTATTTAAACCAAGAGACAAGAAAATGGCACCAAGAAGGTACCCTGTTTCTAAGTTGGCAGGGTGACAACACCTTGTATTGTTTTGGGTGGAGTATCACCAAAGCAGGAATAGGAGGTATCAAGAAATTTCAGGAGAACTAGCTGATATTCAATCATCTAGCATCATACCTGGTTGTCATTTTGACAGTGTTAGGGGACCATACAGCATGGGCAGAGGGGTTGGGGGTGAGGAAAAAAGCTTTGCTATCAGACAGAGGCTGCCAGTCCGTATGGGACTGGGCTGAGAACAACAAGGTGCAATAAGAGGAATCCGAATAGAAAGAAAAGCGTTTCTTCTCCCAGGACCATGCCAAATTCTGCTCCATTCCCAATTCCGGGCCTGCCATCATGTCTTCAAGCCCATTCTCAGCTGCTTTCTCAGTGACCTCAAGGCCACAGTCCCCACCTGGCTGATGCCCCTACACAGCACTCTCCCTGCCTGAAGCCTGTGCTTTTCAGTGGGTCTGTGGGTTACAATTCCCCTTCTTTGCACCTGGTGATTCTCCCTATTAAATCAACAGCCCAGAAAGCCGCCCCAAGTGCTACAGGTAAGCCAGGCCAAATGAGAATAGCCAATGTTAACATGTTCTGCGATGGCATGTTGTTGGGGGTGGGGCCGATATTAATGTGATGAGGCAGCTTAACGCAATTCCCCTTTGCACGGGGCAGGTGTGGGGGAGAGAGTGGAGGATCAAATCAGCAGCTGCATCACAGAATTCGTGTTTGAATGATCTTTCCACCATGTGATCAGTTCTAGCATGCTTAAACAGTTTCCATTGGCATGCAGAAGGATCAGCTGCTCTTAGTATCTTACCCTCATCCCTTCAAATCGTGATAAGGCTCTTAAGGGTCTCAAAGCTCTTAGGGTCCTAAGGGACTTTATGGCACCTAGTTCCGAGTAGCCCAGGGCATTAGCTATAAGGCTGACTAAAGAGACCTACACAGAAACAGAAGAGAAAAACAAAAACAAAAAAGGTAACAAAAAAATAAACAAATAAAAGAAAAAAAAAAAAAAAGAAAAGAAAACAGAGGTTCCAGAGTGTTAGAATAAAGCCCCTAGCACTGAAGACACAGATTGGGCCCCCCAGGTAGAGGAAGTGGGTAACACCAGCTGCCTATTTCAACTTGACTCAAACGACCTGGAAGGAAAGGTGGTTGAGAGGCAGAAGAAAAAACAAGAGGGAAGAGAAAATTGAGAAGGCGGTAGAACATACACACAATTTGGAAAAGGGGAGAGGCGGACGGGAGAGGGAGAGAGTGAGGAAGTTCCACTGGAAGGAGAGGAGCCTGAACAGACAAGAGCCTTACCCTCGCCCTTTACAGTCTCTGCAGGTCCCAGAAGTCCCCATTAAATTAAGCCAGACAAATTTAATGGTACCTATGGAAAAGAATACAGATAAATACACATACTCCACACAAGCTGCCCCCTCCTCAGCTCATTCACCATTGGCTTTCCAACAGGGACAAGCTCTCTTACTCCTGGTTGACAAAAAACCATTTGTTTGAGAATCTTATGCATCACAACATTAAGAACAATGAAAACGTTCAATAAGTACCATGGCTGACTTTGTAGTTCCCAAGAAGAATTGTGCTCCATGAGAACTCACTTAAGTGAGTTGTATCTCTATCTTTTAAACATATCCTTCTATCTCTCACTTTTAACTATGATAATCCTTTTGACTTTTAACTGTAACCAGGACCCCTCCATGGCCACAAGAACTTGGGTGAGTCTGGACAAATGAACCCATACTTTTCCTTATAATTCTCATTCTTTCCTTCCAGAACAGTCCAAAATGAATTATCCTCAGGTCTGTCATTTCCATGTCAATCTTCTATAACTCTTATCATTAGAATAACAGCTGGAAGAATTCTTGGAAAAAAAAATTAATTTGATAGATGAGGAAATTGAGACCTGTACACAAGAATTTGCCCAGGGTTACACTGGCAGTTGTGGAACCAAGATTAAAGACCTCCACTGCCTGACTCCCAGGCCAATGCTTTTTCTTCCATAGACAGGTCACATCCCCAGTGGGCAGATTACATGACAACATTCCAACAGGCCTATCTGCACAATCCAGACTTGAATATGTTACCGTACCAGGGGGAAGAAGCCTGCAGACCTCCAGGCCTAGACATGTGGTCACTTTCCTGCTCTGCCAGAGGCAAACTTACCTTATTCTACCAGAGCTCTCAGAGCAGTTACCACGATGCTTCCTCAACACCATGCTAACTACATTTATGCCTGCCTGGGCCTGAGCTGAGAGTTACAGAATTCTTCAAGGGAGAACAGATCTAAAAATACCTTTAGTTAGTCAAACTCCAGAATGTTTGGGTTCTGGGTTTCTACTTTTTTTTTTTTTTTTTTTTTGAGACAAAGTGTCACTCTGTTGTCCAGGCTGGAGAACAAAGGCGCAATCTTGGCTCACTGCAACCTTCACTTCCTGGGTTCAAGCAATTCTCCCTGCCTCAGCCTCCTGGGTGAGTAGCTAGGATTACAGGCATGTGCCACCATGCCCAGCTAATTTTGTATTTTTAGTAGAGACGGGGTTTCACTGTGTTGACCAGGCTGGTCTCAAACTCCTGACCTCAGGTGATTTGCCTGCCTTGGCCTCTCAAAGTGCTGGGATTACAGGCTTAAGCCACCATGCCTGGCTGGGTTCTGGGTTTCTTACAACACAAATTCTAGGATAGGTTAAGATATTTCCATCAACAGCTCTTAAATTCTTCCTACTGGGAAGTGGTGGTTGCAGATCAGCTTAGCTTACTTAAATTGATGATACTTTAAAGAAAATTTAGAGATGAAAAAAAGAAACAATCTACAACTTAGTTTCATTTGCTGCTTTTTATCTTTATCCTAGGGCTTTAATTATTTGATCCTGTGTCTGTGAATTGCACACACACAATGTAAAAAAAAAATGAAGACATGTATAATTAAGCAGCATGACTGGCGGGGGATAGAAGTGGAAGGTGAATGACCTAGCAAGGGTCAGGATGAGCAGGTTTAAAGGTTTCCATTTAAAACAGGTATGGCCAGGCGTTGTGGCGGAGGTGGGTGGATCACGTGAGATCAGAAGTTCGAGACTAGCCTGGCCAACATGGTGAAACCCGGTCTCTGCTAAAAATACAAGAAGAAATTAGCTGGATGTGGTGGTGCATGCCTATAATCCCAGCTGCTTGGGAGGCTGAGGCAGGAGGATTGTTTGAACCTGGGAGGCAGAGGTTGCAGTGAGCGGAAATGGTGCCATTGCACTCCAACCTGGGCGACAAGTGAGAAACTCCATCTCAATAAATAAATAAATAAATAAAATAAAAAGGGGTATGAACCTTGATCTATGCATGTGCGTGCTCATAATCCACCAGTGTAGGTATCTTCTCTGAAGCCCTAGGCAGTGTCCAAAGCAAATCTGGAAGTAAATGTTGCCCTATTAGGCTACCCTAATTTTCTTGGAAAGGCAGATGGTCCAGAGTTCAATGTCTGCCTAAACTATGGGCCACAAAAGCCCTATCTAGAACATAGTAGCACCAACCAATCCCTTTCTCTCTATCCATCCATCATTATCAATAAGAATTTATACGGAGGTGTATACTTCCCTATTATTACCAAGTACAGCCAACTCTTAAATCCAAAAGAATTGAAAGTTGCCAGATTCTTCATGAAGTCTTAACAGGTATACCTGAAGGGAAGCTATTCTTTCTCAACCAAGTACCTGGGCTCAATAGTCCCCTGGGTCAGCTTCATCTTACAAAACTGTCAGGTAAAGATTGCAAGAAACTAAGCTTTGAGTGGCTATAGGCACCATATAACGTAAGAAGATCCCAGCTCTTCAGGGTGGGTGACTTATCTGCTAACAAATAGGCCCACAGTATGGAGAACGGAAGAAGGAGGTCTAAAGGCCAATTCAATGGCTGGCTCTAAACGTTGCTGAGAGATAAGCTGTTACTCAGCTGATTAATTTGGCTCAGGACAGGATCAATAAGCGTCTTATCTGGGTTATTCTTTAGCAGTTGAGGGCTCTCTTATAATCCTTTGAGTCTCTGTTAAGCCCTTCCTGGAGATAATCCTAACATTGCTTAAAGTATTCTTTAAGGAAAGAATCAAACCTAAAAAACAAACAAACAAACAAAGGAATTGAGGAGACATCAAATTCAGGGCATGAAGCTGGGCGCCATGGCATGTGTCTGCAGTCCTACCTACTCAGGAGGCTGAGGTGGGAAGGCTGCTTGAGCCCAGGACTTTGAGGCTGCAGTGAGCCATGACTGTGCCACTGTACTCCAGCCTGGGCAGCAGGGTGAGACCTACCTAAAAACATTAAAAAATAAAAAATAAATTCAGGGTATCTATGGTTGCAGACTGGAAAAAAAGGGGGAAAGACATTAGGTGACTTCCAAAATGATGTGAATATTTTCAAATGGAGAATGGTTTCAGCAGTCTGAATTCAGGATGAGGCAAGTGGTCTCCGCAAGTCCCCATCTCTGGAACTGATAGGCTTGCTGATCTCCATATACAGTGGGATAAACGTCCTGGGGAAAAGATGCCAAAATTCTTTTACAGGACACAATCTCCAATGCAGCCAAGGAGCTGAGCAAAACAGAATGTTTTCCTTGTTTGAGAACTTGTATGGCTTATAAATAAAACGAATTAACCTTGAAGTCATCTGGATAATCCCATGACTCTGAAAAGTACTTACAGCTTTAAGGGGCAACAAGGAAGAACAAAAATCAATTAGGGAAACAAGTGCGATGAGTAACAGACTCAGACATCAAGTCACCAGTGGATGGTGCTAAGTTAGGACCTAACCTGCTGTATGTTCTAAAATGCCAAAGAAACCAGACACTTTACTCAAATGGACACCAAAAAGTCCAGCAGTTCCAGCTGTTCAGGTGACAGGCCAAGACTAATTGCCCCTCCACAACTCAAAAGTGGCAGCGATTGAAGCCACTGTGATGGCCTGGGAATGTCCCCCCACCTAGCACAAGCCTGGAATCAGGCCATAGTTGCTGTGGAAGCTAGTGTAAGCTCCCCAGGGGCTGGGAACATGCTTGCAACAGGGATAACCTCTGCTTCTCCTTATTGCTTCTGGAGCAATTCTACACAGATAATGGCATTCGACTATATTATTTACTAATAACTGGCACAGAGGTCTTCACAGGAGCCAGTTGGATACCACAGTAATGTAATGATCAAGCAACCCCCAAAAGCTAGAGGGCTTATGAATTAGTATCAGTTGACTGCATGCCTGTCCTATGCTCTTTACCCCCTTCTACCTCATATAAAGTCATAAAAATGTTTGTGAAATAAATGCTGGCTGGGCACAGTGGCTCATGTCTGTAAACCCAACACTTTGGGAGGCCAAGGAGTTCGAGACCAACCTGGGCAACATGGTGAAACTCCATCTCTACCCAAGACACAAAAATTAGCCAGGCATGGTGGTGTGTGCCTATAGCCCCAGCTACTCGGGAGGCTGAGGTGCAAGGATTGTGTGAGCCCAGGAGGCAGAGGCTGCAGTGAGCAGAGATGGCGCCACTGCACTCAAGGCTGGTGACAGAGTAAGACGTCATCTCAAAAAACAAATGCTAATGTGCAGGACTGTTAGTGCTTTAGCAGCTTATTTGTTTAGCAGGGGCATGTGGGATACCTGATCAATATCCTCAAATTCTAGGTAGCTCACCCTAGGGAAAAGAGGAAGAACGTGTTCTGGTGAGGGTGGGTCATGGTGGGGAAGCTCTGTTTCAAATCACAGCCTCCCCAGGCAGCTGGGAGAACCAGTTTGAGTTCAGGTGTCCCACCTGACGCTAGGTAGTCCTGAGGAGCTATTGTGAAATGAAGACTCTATGGCACTTCCTCTTTCTCTAGAAAGAGAACTGGCCCAGTCTCACTTTGGCTCTCTGGGTCTTATCACAAGTCCATTCTTTAAGTCTTAGAGCTCCAGCTTTCTGTCTGTGGGAGGTACAGGTCCTTCCACCACAGGATGGTATCAACAGTTGCTGGAGGGAGTGCTAACATCTCTCGCTGCGAGGGTCTCACACTGGTACCTTCTAGGGTTGGGCTCCTCACCTCATTTAGGCATTTCCCAAAGGCAGGCTTTTTGAAATGGGGATGCAACTGAGGGCACAGTGACAGTTCTGGGAAGGGGGTCATCAACCATGGAAACTGCAAACAATGTATTGGAAAAGAAATGCATTTATAGAGCAGAAATCATTACTGGCTCAGTGCTGGGTGCCTGCCATCGGAGAGATTTCTATGCTGCTCTATCCTGGATCTCAGAGGTACTCTACAGGTAGTTAGTTCACCATGCAGCCAACGGAACCTGCATTCTATATGACCAGTCTAGCCTCCACCACTCTACTTTCTTGGCACTTAACAGCCCTCAGAGGGCAGTAAATTTTCCACAGGCCTTGGTCCTACAAATCCCATTCATCCTTTCTTTAAAATGCTGATTTGGCGGAAAGAAAGAAGCTTTAGTTATTATACAGAATAAGAGAATAGTCATCATCCTTAGTAAAGCTGACAAGGGACAAGTGATGGTGGGGTGAGAAAGAATTAGAGAGGATGTCGCTTCCAACCTGGAAAAAACACAGGAGGTCATGGCCAGCAAACCTCGAAGATGGTCTTGGAACCTGGAGGAAAAAAGGATTTCTCAAGTTTCATGATCACTGTAGAATGGCAACTTGTGGGAAGAAGGGGGGACTTTATTTCAGTGTGAACTCCCCTCACCTAATAAACTGACTTGTTTGCATGAGTCTGGTATCAAGACTTGAGTTGGATGGATGTGTTCATGGGAATGGTCAGCAGGAGAGACCACAGAGATCCCACTACCACCACCTTTGTCCCAGCAGCCCCCATCTCATTCTCTCACCCCTTCTCCCAGCCACAAAAAGAGGGTATCCTATTGGCCTGGGGCAAGAACTTCCTGTCCCCAGCCTAATAACAAGGGCCTTTGAGATCTGTGATTCTACTTCTCACTCCTAATCTCTGAATCTAAGTTAAGCCAAACCCACCAGACTAAAGAGTTGGTTGGTTAGTCCTCTTGGAGCAAATGCAGGGACTTCAGAGTGCCCCTTCTTAAAACGAAGATCTGAGTGCAAGGGAACTTTACCCACACCTACATCTACACCTTGACCTATAACCTGGGCCCAGGGCAGCTACTGCCCTTAGAAAAAGAAAGACCCCTCTCTGTTTCTGTGTTCCTGCTGAAAGGGGTGGGAAACAGAAAGCAAGACACCTACAGCCACGATGAGGAAGTCCAGCCAACACCAGGCATTGGTGAAGAACTTGACGAAGCCATAGGCTGTCCACTTGAGCAACATCTCCAGGATGAAGATATAGGTGAAGACTTTGTCAGCGTATTCCAGGATGGTGCGGATGGTCTTTCTCTGCTCAATGTAGATGTCCTCGAAGGCCTAAAAGAGAGGCAGCAGCTGCCTATAGTGCCTAAAGGCAAGCAGGCCACAGGGAGCACTGCTGTCCTCAGGGAGCCCTCCTACATGGGCTGGCCTATCATCAGCTCCCTGTCTCCTTAGCTTTACTCCCTCACTACACAGGCTTTTTATTTTTTAACAGCTTTATTGAGATATAATCCACACATCATAAAATTCAGCCATTTAAAATGGCTTTTAGTATATTCAGGGTTGTGCATCTATCACCACAATCAATTTTAGAACATGTTCATTACCTCTAAAAGAATCCCCATACCCTTTAGCAATCACCCCCTAAACCCCCAACCCCCTAGCCCTAGGCAACGACTCACCTACTTTCTCTCTCTAGATTTTCCTTCTTATGGCTGAGTAATAGTCCAATATATGGATATACCACATTCTGTTTATCCTTCATCAGTTGATGGACGTGTGTGTTGTTTCTATTGTGAACAATGCTGCTGTGAACATCTGTGTATGGGTTTTTACGTAGACATGTTTTCATTCTCTAGGGCATATGCTCAGGAATGGAATTGCTGAGTCATATGGTAACTGTTTAATTTTTTGAGGAACTGCCAAACTGTTTTCCAAAGTGGTTGCATCATTTCACATTCCTACCAGAAGCATATGAGCGTTTCAATTTCTCCCCATCCTCACCAACAGTATATATAAAAGACATGATAAAATCTTTCCTCCTTTTAGTCCCTTGACACCACAGTATGGGTGGAGGGTCATATGGGTGGGAGACACTTAGGTGAAGAAAATCTTAGCACTACTTTATTTGGCATTCATGAGTGGGATAATCCCTTATATGGTGGTGTGAGCGTTCCCATCTGCAGAGTGGTGGACTACACAGGTGAGGTGCCAAGAGGAGGGAATTCCTAAGGCATGGGAAAACCTGTGGAGGTGGGGAGGAAGTCCTCTGTGATACAATGGGAGGTGCCTGCTCTGAACAGCTCCAGAAGGAAGAACAGAATTGGGCTGTCTGCAGCCTCACCTTCCAAACTGGAGGCACACGGATATCAGGAGCTCCACTTTCATCAACGGGCAGTGGGACAGGGGTTATGGGTTCCACAGTCCTACTCAGGGTCTTGGTGCAAATAAATCCCCTTTGCTCAATCAAAAAGGCAACAGCTTCCATGTCAGGTTTCCCCTTAACCCCATCTGTTAGGAATCCTTTCTATAATCCAAGGTATGTGAGATGCCCAAGACAGATCTCATGTCACTGAGGGCCCTAATCCCCACCCTCTTTAGTCCCATCATAACCACATTCTAGTTTCTTCTTGGATATTTTAGCAGTGGCTTCACTTTGTTATTCTTAAATATCATGCCTGCTGTTACACAGGATCTGTACGTACTGAACCAAATATCCTTTGCCTAATCATTACGACAAATAAAAATTGTCAAAGGTGAGCAGTAAAGAACATTCAAAACCTTTGGTTCACTACTGCTTTATTCTTTTTTGTAGAGATGGGGAAGAGAAGAACCAAATGATGGGTCATACTGTTTAGATTTTTGTTTGCTAGACTTGAAGAATAACAATACCAACAATAAAAAAACACATTTCTCCAATCACTTGGCTTAGTCTGATCCTCTCTTTTCTCAAGGGCAGAGACTATGCTGTCATCTTGGGTGCCTCTGCGGCACCTCAGGAAGTGGTGTGTGAATGCTCGTTGATGCAACAAATGGCCCAGGCGCAGGCGGGGCGGTCTGGCTCCCCTTCTCTCAGATCTCAGATCAGTGGCTACCAAGCCATCTTTTTTGCCTCCTACTTTAATCCTGACACCTTCCTGTGTAAACCTTCCCCTCGCTTCCCATGATCCTTTTCATGAAAGCTGTCTTCTTCACCTTGGGCTTGTCTTTAATACACACTGCTGCCTCTCTCAGCCTTTTTTCTCCTGCCTCACAAGTCAGTGAAACTTCCCAAGTCACTGTCAAAATCTTTAACACTGAATTTGGGGACTCTCCCTTGTTATGTTTTTTTTTTTTTTGCTTCCAGATTAAGCTTTGATTCCACACCTACATGAATGTGCCCATCTTCTTTAAATATACTTCAGCATTATGCATTCTTCACCTTTCCCTTAAGGAAAGGAAAGTGTATACTGTCTCTAGTCCCTGCTGTCCTCAAGACTATTCAACTAGCAAGCAACTCCCTCACACCACACCCTATCCAGGTGTCCTCAGTTATAACCCGGCTAAAAATAAAAGCAAATGCCAAGATAATTAGTCTCAGCAGTGGAGGAGCCTGTGTGTTCAGGGCCTTGTATGTTTCACTGATTAATAAGCACTTAGGACAATGTGAATATAAATAACCTTTGTACCAGAGATCTGACTCTAAACATTTGCTAATGTCACGGGTTCTCTATATCCAGTAGGGTGTGAAGGGACAGTGAGCGGAGGAATACCACCTCCCTCCCATCCTGGGTAACTGAAAAGCAGAGAACAAGAGATTTGGGGTATTAGGTAAGAGAGGGAAGTTCATTTTAGGGGCTGCAAAAGATGGGTAAACCAGGCAGTGGGGACACATGAGCGGGATAGTGCTAAGTCTACAGAGGATCAGGACATGAACAGGTATGGATTCTAATCCCACAGGCTCAAAGTAGCAGCCCAAAGCACCTTAACAGATCATTATTCTTGGGACCACAGCTAATCTGTTTTCAGAGCCACTGGGCTTGGGCCTCAGCTTTTCCCACTGGCTTCTCTACACCCTTCCCCAGCCAATCCCTCCTCACACTCTCCCCTGGACCTTACCAGGGCACCACTGCTCAGCAGAATCATGAAGATGATGAAGGTCTCAAACCAGTTGTGCTCCACGATGAGGAAGCAGGTTTTCCGCAGGATCCACCAAGACTTGCCTAGCCCTTCCTCAATGTTGACCTGGCAGCACTTGAACCGCTGGACACAACCTGGCACCAGCGGGAGAGGCAGGTCAGACCGTGGAAACATGCCCCGCCCAGACCTGCCCTCTCCTCCATCTCCCAGGCCCTGCCAGGTGCTGCCCCACCACACAGCCAGGAGGACAGTGGCTGAATCAGAATGCCTGATTCAGAAATGGAGAGGGTGGCAGGGCTGAGGCTATGCTGCAAAGGCTAACGGGGCAAGGCCCTCTGGAGTCAAGAAGATGTCCTACAAAGAAGCAGTGAGAGGGAGGAGAAAAGGGTGGTCAGGAGGCAGGCACAGCCATGACAGAACAGGTCGTACGAAAGGAAGTTTTTGGGCTGATGCCAAGAGAAAATGGACAATGAAAAGTGAGAATAGAAACTTGTTATATACTTGTCAGATACAAATAGGGGAAATAATCTAAGTTTCCTTCAAAATGGCGGGGTGGGGAGCAAAGTTCTTGAAGATAGCCACTGAGCTGCCCCTCGCCCACCACTAGCCCCTGCAGAGCTGTGTCTGTGAGCAACACGAGTGTCCCAAGCCCATCCCCTCCTCGCCCCCTTTCACCTTCTGTGAAGCAGGCGTCTGGATCCAGGTATTCCTCAGGTTGTTCCACAGGGACCTCTTCTACTTCTGGTTTGATATCAATGGTGCTTCCTTCAGAGGAGCTGGTGTCATCTAGTTTCTAGACATGCAAGGAAAAGGGACATCAGGCAGCTCTGCAGCAACATGCCCACTCCACACTGAGAACTCTGCCTCTGGTGGGGATGAGGCGCCAGTTCTGACTCTTCTCTAGAATTCTTACTACAACTCGCGATAAGCAAACCATATCCATGGGCCCTCAAAACTTCTTTCCAGATGGGATATAACATCAAAACCTACTCACGGAAGACAATGACCCACCCAAAGCTAAACGTGGCTATAGGTTGGTTTCAGGGCTATAACTAAGATGAATGGCAGGGAAGTACTCAAGGGATTATTCCAGCCTCTGACCCGGATGATCCAGAAGTGACAGAGGTGGGTCCAGGATCATCTTAGGATTCCACTTCATCTAGGAAAGGCCTAGAATGACACTGGGAGGGTGGAATTAGTTCTCCACGTAAGCTGGTTATTCCAGAATCTCTCTACCAAGCCCATAGCTGAAACAATCCCCAAGGCTGACAGCACCCTGTTTGTTCTCACACAGGATCAAGGCTGTTTCTAGGCTGGGACCTTACATCTTTGCTGCCTTCAGGATCCGATTCGCTGCTAACATCCTCTGTGTTGAGGTTCTCAAAGTCAGACTCCCCCACAGCAATGGGTACCCGCACAGTCAAGTTGGGGTTGTTGATGAAGGACATATGGTCTTCATCAATGATGTACTTCTCCACGCTGCTGCCAATGCCACTGGTTGTGCCATTCCCATTCTTCTGGAAGTCGCCATTCCGGTGGATGTCTGCACCAGTGTGATTGGCGATGCAGTTGGCCTTCTTTTCATACAACTCATCCAGAGGCTTCACCTCATCGGCCTCACGCTGCTTAAAGTGGGCCTGCATGAAGGCATGCACCTTTAGTTTGGTCCAGGCCACACCCTTCTTGATACGGATCACTGAGATCTGGAGGTTGTTCATTTCCCCATCATCATCTGTGGCAGCCAGGTTGTCTGCACTGAAGGAGCTCAGGAGCAAGGCCAGAAACAGGTTCAGCACCTATGCCAGTAGCATTGGAAAAAAAGAACAAATGTAGAAAAGTTATCCACCAAACTCAGGGTTGCAAACTGGAAGCCAACGGACTTCACATGACACACTCAAAGAGGCTCTGTTGTGTTCTGTTTGGCCCACGTAGTATTTTAAATACTCATGTTACCGGGTGGGAATGTGTTTGGTTTTGGTTGTAATACAAGGAGTTTAGCACCTCTATTCTTGGGTCTTTTATAGTTTTTACATACATAAATATGTACCCCAAAATATACTACTTCTCTTATAATTAGAAAAAACGAAGACTGTATCCATTTTGGAAGGAAATTTCCCCAAAATAAAAAGGTGAATATACATTCTTGGGGAGGGTCGCAAAGTGCGTAGATGCCACGTATTCATGAGCAGAGTTCTTAGAGGACCCACGTCAGAAAAAAAAAATTAGGCTTGAAGTGCCATCCACAACAAAATCAAGAAGGTAGGACTGAAATACACTTCATGTCATTGTATTTTAAGAACAAATTTTGTTTTCCTAACGTTTAATCGCTTTAGCAAGACAGTGATGGTGACTTTTATGTTCTTCTGCATAGCCAAAGGTCAAGCCATCAGATACAAGCTTTATTTATTTTTGTTTTCATCTCCTATTTTACTACATTGAACATTAAGATTAATTAATTTATTTTTATTAAGACTTACTTTTTAGGAGTGGGAGAGGTGCTCATTTCTTGATTTATACTTGGTCCTTACTTTGTCATACTTGGGAAGAAGAGTAAGGCATACATTTTAGGAGGAGATAACAGTCATGTGCAGAGTGGGAGGGTGGAAACAATAAATGAACTATAAGTATTCAGATGATCTGCACCATTTGTAGAGTTAAAAAGGAATATGGTTGGTAAAATGGGGGTGAGTTGGAGGGGCCTTTGAAGGCCAGGATGAAGGATCTGAGTTTTATTTAATTAGATCCACTACTGGTTCTTGAGTAAAGGAGTCACAGATGATGACAGAGATTTGAAAAAGTCATTCAGACTAACTACATACAGAGGGGAAGGGCAGAAGTTAGGAGGCTGTTACATGCATGAATTGATAAGGGTCTGGATCAGGCTACAGAAATCCCAAATCTTAGCATGCATTAGAATCTCAGGGAGTGAGGGGTGTGGATGTTTGTTAAAAATATTTCCTTAGCCTACTCTCTAAAGAGATTTGGATTCAGTAGATTTGGTGTAGAGGCTGGGATCTGGCCTTTCTTTGTGAGTGAAACTTGTGTAATGATGATGCAGGAGGTCTTGAGACTACACTTTCATAGAAAGTACTGAACGAATTATAAAAATGCAAAGGAAGGGGCAGATCTTAGATTCTATGAAGAAAGATACCCACAAAAATACTATGAAGAAAGATGCATTTAAGACACATAAGATATTTGCTTGGAATGGAGAGAAAAGAGACAGAAAATACTCCAACGTTATAGGTTCCTAGAAACTAGATGGGCAGAGGGACTACTAAGCAAAGGGGAACCTGAAAAGTGTCATCAGGGGGTAGTGGTAACAGCTGATTTTTGTCAAGTGCTCGGGTATCTGGAGACAGCCATGGGGGGATGTCTTTGAGACAACTAAGAACAGGAGAATGAAGAAAGGGTGACAAAGTCAGGGCTTGGAAATGTTGATCATGCTACATACCAGGAAGCCATTGTTATAGTCACTGAAGTAGTGAGAAGACTAGAGGGATTAGGACTGAGGGAAAGGTGGCTGGGAATGGAGAACAGGAGGAATTAAACATTACAGTAGCTATTTTTTTGCAGGTCAAATCGAAGAACAGAATAGCTGTAGCTGGTTCGGAGGCTGGTGAGTAGGAGTCTTTTACTGTCATGCTTCTCTATGGCAGAAAAAGGAAGAGAACTAATGTGGATGAGCGTGCAAGGGATAGATAAGCTTGTCTTCTTCCAGTCCTCTTTGCCCTACACTTGCAGGCAGGATTGGGGCCCTGATCTGTAAGCTGGTTCTTTCTCAAACTTTAGTGTACATATGACTCACACAAGGATCTTGTTAAAAATGCAGATTCTGATTCAGTAGTTCTGATTTGGGGCCTAGAATTCTGCATTTCTAACACACTCTCAAGTGATCTTGTTGCTTCTAGTCCCCAGATCACACTTTAAGAAACAAGGTGTTAAGATCTGTTGGTGACTCTTCTAAAGACAGAGGTAGAAGAGAGCAGGTGGACAAAGTAAAGCAATAAAGTGATTTGTCATTTATATAAATTAAACTCTAAGACAGTTTAGAGCGGTTGCTCTCAATGGAGGGCAATTTTGCCCCCCGGGGACATCTGGCAGTGTCTGGAGACATTTTTGGTTGTCACAGCTCTGAGGATGCTACTGGCATCTAGTGGGTAGATGCCAGGAGGGATGCTGCTAAATCCTACAATGCACAGGACAGTCCACAACAAAGAATCACCCAGCCCAAGATGTCAATAGCGCCAAAGATGAGAAATTGTGGTTAAGAAACAAGAAGGCTTCTGTAGGTGAAAGGGCACAGACGTTGAAGTCTAGGTTCAAATATAAGCCCTATATTTATTTGGGAAAGTCACTTAATTTTGCTGAGTTTGCTTTCCTAACTCTATGAAAAGGGCTGACAAGCTGTGGGTGGGGGTCATGACTAAGTAGGCACTCTGTAAGTATCTGTCTCCTCTCCTTCATTGGTACCTTAGGGTTTCTGGGCCAAGAAAGAATAAAAATCAACAAACATGACAGGCAGTAGGAGGACTAAGCAGTAGAAGGACTTGGGCTTCTGGGCCAAGGGTAGAGTATTCAAGGTGTAGAACAAAAATATCTACAAATTAGTACTAACCACCAAGTTGCCAATCACCATGACCATCATAAATACAATGAGGCACATGGCCTGGCCTGCCACTTCCATGCAGTCCCACATGGTCTCAATCCACTCCCCGCACAACACTCGAAAGACAATGAGGAAGGAATGGAAAAAGTCATGCATGTGCCAGCGAGGGAGTTCACAGTCCTGGTTGATCTTGCAGACACACTCTTTGTAGCTTTTTCCAAAGAGTTGCATCCCCACCACGGCAAAGATGAAGACAATAATGGCCAGCACCAGTGTCAGGTTGCCCAGGGCGCCCACTGAATTTCCAATAATCTTGATTAGCATGTTCAGGGTGGGCCAGGATTTGGCCAATTTGAAGACTCGGAGCTAAGGAAAAAAAAAACCCAAACAAAAAAATAAATGATAATCAATCAATTTTCTTACCACGTGGCTAAAATAAAAACATAAAATTAGTAAGATCAGATTAAATATATTGAGCACCCTTGGAAAATTCCCAGGACTTTCTAAGAGTGTCTCAGACTAAATGGGGAGAAACTAAGACACAAATAAGAGAAAACTGATTAATTTCAGAGTAGTTGAAAAATCTGTAACTAGAAACCAGGAATACTGCCTTATTCCTTTACTTTAGATCTGAGTCAATCTGCTTTTTGAAAACCCACACATGAACATATCTCTTTCCTACTGATCTTTCCTTCACTTCTCACAGGACAAGTGAAAGAAAATGTGATTTGTAGGAAACCAAAAGACTAGTATGGGACAGACAGTTAAAAAAAAATCTGTCTCCTCAAAAAAGCAAACATTAAAAAATTCTAAATATCTATTTTCTTGCCAATAAATAATCAATGGTTGATTAAAAAAAAACCATTGTGATATGCTTGGAATAACTTGGAGGAAAAGCACAACTCTCAAACAGGGGCAGTTCCACAAACATCAGTCATCTTATGAAAAGAGCCTATACTGGCCGGGTGCAGTGGCTCACGCCTGTAATCCTAGCATTTGGGAGGCTGAGGTAGGTGGATCACTTGAGGCCAGGAGTTTGAGACCAGCCTGGCCAACATGGTGAAATGCCGTCTCTAATCAAAAATACAAAAATAGCCAGATGTGGTGGTGCAGGCCTGTAATCCCAGCTATGCGGGAGGCTGAGGCATGAGAATCGCTTGAACCTGGGAGGTGGAGGTGGAGGTGAGGCGAGATCATGCCACTGCACTTCAACCTGGGCAGCAGAATGAGACTATGTCTAAAAAAAAAAAAAGGAAAGAAAAGAGCCTATACTGTTATTCAAAGGACAGAAATTTTAGTACCTGTCAATCATGAAATATCTATATTCTGTAATAAATAATTACAAGATCTTGGCTAAAAGCCTATTATTTTTTATTTATTTTTGAGACAGAGTCTCACTCTGTCACCCAGGCTGGTGTGCAGTGGCATGATCTCGGCTCACTACAACCTCCACCTCCTGGGTTCAAGTGATTCTCCTGCCTCAGCCTCCCAAGTAGCTGGGATTACAGGCATGCACCACCACGCCCGGTTAATTTTTGTATTTTTAGTAGAGATGGGGTTTTACCATGTTGGCCAGGTTGGTCTCAAACTCCTGACCTCAAGTGATGCACCTGCCTTGGCCTCCTAAAGTGCTGGGATTACAGGTGTGAGCCACCGCACCTGGCCCAGCCTGAGAATTAGAATACATAAAGGCTATGGCAGTGTGGCCAATAAAATTATAATTATGAGATCATCATTAGATGTCATAAACTAACAAATAACTAACATAGAATGTAATAGGAATTTTGGTAGAAGGCAATTGCACAATTTGAACTTTTTTTTTTTTTTTTAATTGAAAAGTTGTCTTATCAGAGAGTTCAAGATTTACCAGGTGTTAGTTACCCTACATGCATACATCTGGGCCACTCATGTTGTTTTTACCGAGTGGCTTTTAATTTAAGAATGCAAGTTCTAAGGCTACTCTCAATCCTTTCTGTTGTCACCTAGATAATAACTATTCTCAAAAAAGTCCACTGTGGACTGGATTCTAAACAAAGAGTAGTAAACAGAGGTTTCAGAAATTTGGCAGTTATTTGTAACTTGGACTGAGTGAAATCTCTGTTTTACAAATAGTTTCACTTTTTCCAATTCTCTTTCTTAGAACTGCTGAATATTTCAGTGAAGAAACCTTAAATATTCTCAGTTGCAAGTGCTTATTTTCCCAACAGGGAGTGAAAAACCCAAGCCAATTCGAATGCCAAGGAAGCAGCAGTGGCCTTTGTCTGAGTGGGATGCCCCCATGGTAACTCAGTTTCTCAGAGGAGTTAATCAGGATATCACTTACGCTTATGTTTATGGGTAGCTGTCTTGAAGATACTATTAACTATTCTTTCAGAGTCATTGTAGTAACTTAAACACTAACTTCTTCAAATACATTAATACAAACTCCTTTTTAGCTAATGATAGGGAAAGTAAAGCCAATGTTCAACAACTAATTTCAATATAATACAGATGTTCCTTGACTTATGATGGGGTTGTGTCCCAATAAACCCATTGTAAGTTGAAACTGCTGTAAGTAAAAAATGCATTTAATATACGTAACCTACTGAACATCACATCTTAGCCTAGTCTGCCTTAAACATGTTCTGAAAGCTTACATTAGCCTACAGTTGGCCAAAATCATCTAACACAAAGCCCATTTTATAATAAATTATAGAATATCTCATGTCATTTATTGAATACTATACTGAAAGTGAAAAATGGGATGGTTGTATCGGTACTCAAAGTATGGATTCTACTGAACGTGTATTGCTTTTTTGCAGAATGTAAAGCTGAAAAATTTTAAGTTAAGCCATCATAAGTTGGGGACCATCTGTATTAAAAAACATTATTTTATTATCAGTTTTTGGAAGGGCCACCATGATAGAAGAAATGAAGAAAGTAATCTTTGAACAAGGAGAAATTCTTGCCATTTCAAGGAGATGTTCAGATTAAAAAAATAGATTCACTAGCAAACCCAAATTAGGCCTCACATTGGGCTTTGGGAGAGTTCATTTTCATCTAGTGTCTTGGGTCTTATTTTTCACTTATTATCTTAGACATCTCTTAGATTAAGCAGCATTTTCTAAAGAGCTTCTTAAAATTGATTTCTGTTTGCTTCTTGATTTTTAACAACTAACTTCTATATCAGGTATTTTAGGAAAGTTTTCAGTATTTGAGTAGCTGAGCCAAATAACTGGAATTGGGAGTAAAATACAGCAAATATATGTTTTTAAATCATCAAATTAATTTATGCAGAACTCTTTCTGGTAGCTGCAAGATAGGAAATGTTAAAAGAAATTGGAGAAATATAGAATACCAATCGGAAAGATCGCAGCACTGAAAGCCCCTCCACGTCTGCTAGACTCAGTTCCATTAAACTGAGGGAGACAATAAATCCGTCAAAAATGTTCCAACCTTCTTGGAAATAATAGTAGGGATCCATGGCTATGAGCTTTAGAAACATTTCCGCTGTGAAAATTCCAGTGAAAACCTAAATGGGGGATGCGGGGGTAAGAAAAAGAAACAGTAGAAAGAGAATGATTTTATCATTATTTTTAAATACAACATGTCCAAGAAACTCAAGAGTTAACCTTAGTTAAATTCTGCATCTGAAGATATCAATACCTGGATGTCTCATGAGCACCCCACCTGATGCAGGAAAATCTTATTTTCCTCTTGAATGAAGTCCGCAGCCCCAAAGTTCCCATCTTTGTTGCCAGAACCACTCAATTTACACTGTTCAAGAGTGCAGTTGAGAAAATATGCTAAGCAATGGCAATACTACACAAGGCGACTCCTTTCAAAGGGTTAGCAGTCATTTGAATGTATATAATACTTGTGATGTTTGCTTAAAAAAATCACTTGTGTTACAATTAGATTAGAAAACTAAAGTATTAATGCTAATTTGACATTATATGTCTTACCAAACCTAGACATTTGCTGCAAGGTGTAAAAGCATACAACATTGCCAAAATGTGCAAAATACAGGAAATAATATCTATAATCTCACCACCTTGCATACAACTATCATTTTTATGTATTCTCTTTCTGGTTTTTTTTTTTTTTTCAAATACACATGGATTTTGACAGAGTTGGAAAATCATAGAATACATAATATCTTGGGTCTGAGTTTTCACTGATCGTAAGTCTATCCATGTTGCTACACAGTTCTCCCAACTCTCACTCTTATTGCCTGTATAAAGTTCTACTGGCGGCTGGGCATGATGGCTCACTCCTGTATAATCCCAAAATTTCTGGTGGTCGAGGCAGGCAGGTAGCGTGAGTCCAGGAGTTTGAGACCAGCCTGGGCAATATGGTGAAAACCCATCTCTACAAAAGATACAAAAATTAGTTGGGCGTGGTGGTGTGTGCCTGTGGTACCAGGGACTCAGGAGGCTGAGGTGAGAGAATCACTTGAGCTTGGGAGGCAGAGGTTGCAGTGAGCCAGCCTGGAGTGCAGTGGATCGTGCCACCACACTCCAGCCCAGGTGACAGAACAAGCCCTATCAAATAAATAAATAATAAATCAACAAATAATGAATAAAATTCTATTGGGTAAATACATCCTCAAAGAATGTTCCTATTGTTGGAGACTTTGGTGCTTCCTTTTGATTTTTTTCAATATGATAATCAATGATATAATAAATGTTTTAGACTATAGCTTATTGTGTGCAAAAATGACATCTTCCCTATGTTACCTGTCTCCCATTTTTCTGCTGACAGAGTGCCTGCACTTTCTGATGCCTTCTGTATCCTGCAGGCCTCAGGAGGTGATATGCAGGATGAAAGTCAAATCCCATGAACGCCAGTTTTGACAAAACCAATACCTTCATTCTAGGCTAACCATATAACATCAGACTCTTACTGAATATTATGTTTTTAGAGGAGAGGACTTATTTTTACAAGAGATTTAAAACTGTCATAATATATTAGTACTTGTAACTACTTGTTTACCAAGTTTCCATATCAAACAGTTTAAGGAAAACTGAAGATACAGTCCGAGGACAAAATTAAAAATAGTAAAAAATACTTAAGATTATAGATGCTGTTTGGAAATATACTGAATTAATGAACAGCAATAAAAAAACAGAATGATGACTGAAATACATCAAAATGGATAAGTGGACTATAGGTTTTTGGTATTCATATGCTTTTCTGTAGTTCCTCATGTTTCTAAATTGAAGATGCAACAGTCTCAAATTGAAACAAAAATTCCACAAAGAGATCCAGTTAAGTAAAATCAAAGTTCATAGTACAAGTTAAGCATCTATAGATGCAACATCCCTCTGAGTGAGTTCAGGGAAAGCAGAGACTGCTCATCCAATCCTGACATACATTTCACCCGTTGTGTAAACTCACTGGAGGTTTCTCCAAGTAGAAATGCTAGCCTGCCTAACACACACTAAGCAGAGACTTGATTTGTTATCCCACTGGTTCCTGGTAAACACACAGGAAGTACTCATGAACAAGCACTGGCTGATTGACCCTGGGATATCTATACTGTGGGAACTCTGGTTCCTAAGGGAAATCAACAATGAAACAGTCATGTGGTGTTGCCTATCACCAGGATGAATGACCCCAGGTATCAGGAATTCTCTGTGACAGAGGTCAGTCACCATGTTGCTTCAACATATGGTGTGTTGCCATCAGTTGGGTGTGTGTCAAAATACATCTGTAACTATTAGCTATGTGAAGGAATTGCTTTTTTAAAAATTGAGAAGAGCAGATTTAAGGTTATCCTATGATGCTCTTGTTTGCACTGTGATATGCTTCTCAAAGAGGAGAAAGGGAAGAATTACATGCAGTGTATCAGTAATTATATATAAGTGTCTGCTATGGCTTGAATGTGTCCCCCAAAGTTCATGTATTAAAACTTAATCCCCAAATGCAATAGTGTTGTTCTCCTGAATGTCATCAAATATTCACTTTAGAATTTATGTTCCTATGCAGCAGTTCTCAAAGGGTAGTTGAGGATCCTTAGAGTCCCTAAGACCCTCTCAGGAGGCACATGGTCCTCTCTTTTCCAACTTCAGAAGTACCCCCCATCTGCGGTTTTGCTTTCTGCAGTTGCAGTTACCTACCATCAACTATAGTCCAAAAATATTAAATAAAAAATTCTAGAAAAACAACTCATAAATTTTAAATTGCATGCTGTTCTGTGTAGCATGATGAACTCTTGAGCTATCCTGCTCTATCCCTCCCAGGACGTGAATTATCCCTTTGTCCAGTGTATCCATGCTGTATAAACTACTTGCCCTTTAGCCACTTAGCAGCCATCTTGGTTATCAGATTCACAAAACACAGTATGGTCATGCATTGCTTAATGACAGGGATATGTTCTGAGAAATGTGTTGTTGGCAATTTAGTCATTGTGTGAACATTACAGAATGTATTTACACAAACCTAGATCTTATATATATATTTTCATTTATATATGTATATTTTTAATATGGAAAACCAAATGTCCCAGCACCTTTACTTAACATCAATCATTTCCCCTACTTGACCTGCAAGGCCAATATCAAATGGCATATAACAAGTTTTTATATATGTTCCATTATAATCTTACGGTATCACTGTCAGACATGCAGTCTGTCATTGACCAAAATGTTGTTATGTGGTACGTGGCTATATACATACACACACACACACATATATATACACACACACACACATATATATACACCCACACATATACATACATACATATATGTGTATATGTGTGTGTGTGTGTATGGCTTGGTACTATCTGAGGTTTCAGGCATCCACTGGGGGCCTTGGAATGTAACTCCCTTGGATAAGAGAGGACTACTGTACTTATTTGTGTGAGGCAAGCTTTTCTTCCTATACTTTAGCTAAAATAACATATCACAACAGACTGAATGTAGAAGCAGAAAAAGAGAATCTAACTATCTTCTATTAAACCAGACATGAGGCCGGGCACAGTGGCTCACGCCTACAATCCCAGCACTTTGGAATGCCCAGGTGGGCGGATCACTTGAGGTCAGGAGTTCGAGACCAGCCTGGCCAACATGGTGAAACACCGTTTCTACTAAAAACACAAAAATTAGCCAGGCATGGTGGCGGGCAACTATAATCCCAGCTATTCGGGAGGCTGAGGCAGAAGAATCGCTTGAACCCGGGAGGCGGAGGTTGCACTGAGCCGAGATTGTGCTACTGCACTCCAGCCTGGGCGACAGAGTGAGACTCTGCCTCAAAAAATAAACAAGACAGACATGAAAGAGATTTACAAAATGTTGAACGATACCATTCTTCCAGTTTTTCTTAGAAAATATAGTTTCCCCCCACCAATATGTTATTTATGTTCATGTGTAATGGGTGTATTATTGTGATATTTATTTATTTATACATTTATTTATTTTACATATGGGGTCTTGCTATGCTGTCCAGGATAGTCTTGAATTCTTGAGCTCAAGTGATCCTCCCATTTAAGCATCCTGAGTAGCTGGGATTACAGAGATGAGCTGCATGTCTGGTTAATTTTTTTATTTTTGTAGAGATGGGGTCTCACTACGTTGCCCAGGCTAGAGAGCAATGGCTATTCATAGCCTGTATTCCTGGAGGACTTCGGCATCAAATTCCTGGCCTCAAGCTATGCTCCTGCCTCAGCCTCCCAAGTAGCTGGGACTTACCTACCTATATTATTGTAATTCTTTAACTACAAAATGAATGTTTAGAAATGTTCTCAGTTTTAATTTCAAATATGATAAATATCAATAGACATAGCACTTTTATTTAAGAGTATAAAGGAGTCCTGATCTCCTCAGAATATTCTATAAAACAATGGTTCTCTATTCTCTACAAAATACTCTGAATTCACAGTCATCGTATCTTTCTAGTTGGGGTTTTGTTGTGTTTTGTTTTTTTGAGATAGAGTCTTGCTCTGTCGCCCAGGCTGGAGTGTAGTGACATGATCACAGCTCACTGCAGCTTTGAAATTCTAGGTTTGGCCAGGTGCAACGGCTCACGCCTGTAATCCCAGCACTTTGGGAGGCCGAGGAGGGCAGATCACGAGGTCAGGAGATTGAGACCATCCTGGCTAACACGGTGAAACCCCGTCTCTACTAAAAATACAAAAAAATTAGCTGGGTGTGGTGGCGGGCGCCTGTAGTCCCAGCTACTCAGGAGGCTGAGGCAGGAGAACGGCATGAACCCAGGAGGCAGAGGTTGCAGTGAGCTGAGATCACGCCACTGCACTCCAGCCTGGGTGACAGAGCGAGACTCTGTCTCAAAAAAAAAAAAAAAAAAAAAAAAAAAGAAAAAGAAATTCTAGGCTCAAGTTATCCTCTCGCCTTGGCCTCTCAAAGAGCTGGGATGACAGGCATGAGCCATGCCTAGTCTAGTTTGGACAAGCCTGTGGTCATAGGCCTGATAACTTGTAAAGCCAGGTCACCAAGTAAAGCCTATATAGGGGTATAAGATTGGGGTATATTTCACTCGGCAGTCACTATGGGGTTTGGGAAGGGTCTG